TTATCCTTGGATGGCATTCAAAAATACCGCAAGGGCAATGGATTGCAATCCATAAGCTCAATATGCTTCAAGGCTGCAAGAATCGTTGCAATACTCATTGATGATGGAATTGAGTTTGACAAAATGCATGACATTGAATGGCATAGGAATTTTGCACCGGTGGTTGGCAGAATATTGAGAATCGAGCATCTGGATGGCTTTCTCATTTGATTCGATGTTCATCTGAAAATTTAGTCACTAGCATTAGGTTTCTAGCTATTGTCGTCTTTGCCACTTTCCAAAATAGAAGTGAAGCAGTTGATTAATGATCACATTCCATCCCAAGTTTGATGATTGTAACAAATTTTTGGGAAAAAAAAAAGGTTTAAAAATAAATTTTTGGAAAAAAAGTTCAATCCGCAAACTGCCTGCAACCGCCCGCACATCCGCGAATCCTATCCGCACAAACCGCAAATCGCATTGTGGGCAGTTGCAGGTTGACTTTTTCCCAAACAGCATAGATGCGGGCGAGTCCAAACCGAACCGCAAACCGTCCCAAACCGAACCGCGGACACCCCCTATAAGAAACGATTTTAACGATCCTGATGCTGATGCTCTAACGCTATGTTTGGATTGAGTGATTTGGAGAGAAAGGAAAAGAAATGGAGAGATATGTATTTCTCTTACTTGTTTGGATAACTTAAGTAGAACGAAACGAGGAGAAATACAGAGAAATATAGAGAAACTCATTTCTCTTATAACCCTTATTTTCAGTCTTCCCAAAACTAGAGAGATTGAGAGAGAAAAGAAACCAATATTATCATAATACCAATTTTGTCCCTATAAAAATAAAAGAAATAAAATGATTGAAAATATAAAAAGGTTGTTTTGGTAATATAACATAAAATAATTTCTTTTCTTTTCTCTTATGAAATCTAACCAAACAAGAAGGAGAGAAATCACAATCATTTTTTTAAATTTTATTTCTTACTTATCTAAACAAAAATGAAAGAAATCACAATAATTTCTTTTCTTTTTTTTTCTCTCCTAGGTTCCCAAACATAGTGTAAATATCAAAGCATGAATATTTTTATACCATAGACGTTTGAGGCTGCTTTTCTAAATTGATTTGTTTGAGAAGTTAAAATTTTCTTTTTGTAGCATTTTTTTTAACACATGATAAAGCTTTTTAACTTTATAATTTTCCTATTTGTTATAGTAAAAACTGACTTTTTAAAGATTGTTCCGAACGGGTAGACTAATGTCTTGTTAAGTAGTACTTATAACTTATGGAGATACCATGGAAAAGCTTTCTCCCTCAAGATTCTAGACGACGAAGTTCTAATTTATGACATTTGCTATAGTTATAAATTAAAAATAATAGATAAATTACGCTGATAGTCTCTCAAATTTATATTTAATACAGATCTCTCTAGACATACTAATCCTCATAATTTAATTTGTAATACTGTCAAAAAAAAAAATCAAATCAAGATGACTAATTTACAAAAGTACCATAATGGTCTTCTTTCTTTACCCAAACCCATATTTATACCCTCTGCCACTTTTCACCTTCACCATTGTATCCCCACCAGTACCCCTCTCCACTATTACCAGTGCATCCCCACCTTCACCACTTCCATCACCACAGCATTAGTGTATCCGACTACAGTTCACAACTTTCATCACCACTAATCACTTGTCACCGCCGGCGGCGACCCACCACTCCTCCTCCCTTTGTCACTATGCCAATCACAACCACAAACCACAACCACCATAATAAAAAATCAAAGCCCTTCCAATTGAAGGCACTCCCATGATCAAAACTCATGATTGGATCAAATTGAATTGAATTAAGGCTATGCCACCAAAAATCATCTAGCAAAATAAAAAATCCTATATCATTTAGCATAATCAAAACCCCAAATCTCTGCAAGTGATTGCAGCCTGTAGTGTTGTCGATCATGGCTTGAGGGATGGCATGGCACAATCATCATCCTCGTCCGTTGATCTACGAACCCACCACCTCTCAATGTGTTGCAGCACCAACAACAAATATTTGTGAAGAGTTCCCTGTTGCGGAACCAACAACCATCAATTTCAGTACCATCAACCCTTCGTCGCACCACCCAACCCACCAATCACCATCTCAACATGAATTGAAGTAGATTTTTTTGATTAATTTCACCAGGTAACTTGGATTAATGTTACCATGTAGTCTCTTGGCTTCTTCACTCATGGTGGTGGTTTTGTTTTTAAGTCATGGACAATGTTTTTGATTTGTATATCACAGTGATGGTTTTGTGTTTGTGAAGTGAATTTGATTACATGTAGATGTGGGTATAAATTCCACAATGTTAGCAACTCACATTTTATATCCACAAATGTATTTATAATTAGCGATTGCCACACGCGATACGTGTGCTATTCAAATAAATAAAAATAAAATAAAAAAATTATTATATATTGTATGCTAGTCAAATGGTAAGAGTCTTATTTATTTGATATAAGTCTAAGGTTCAAGTCCCCTCCACTCATCTATTTAATTTTTTTTTTATTTCAAATAAAAATGTAGACACGTGGCACCATAAGAAACAAAGGCTTCAAGACACCATAAGAGGTGTTGACTTTATAATATAGATAGATAGATAGATATATAGATAAATAGATGATGTGGCAAAAGTAGTGAAACCCATATCATTGAGTGTTCAACTAATAAAAAACTGACATTGGTCCGATTATATTATTGTGAATTGAATTTTAAAAAATTTATGAGGATCTCAAATATTTTCTGTATGAATTTTTGACTGTTTTATATAAGAGAATGTGGGTAATTGTCCGTAAATGTGTATGTGTGCATTGGTAAAATGAAGCTCTATTTTTCTTTTTATCAGTGTCTGGTTTATTTATTTGTTTGTTTATTTCTATAATATCTGATTTTCTATTTTTCCTCTTTATCTTTGTGCAGTTTAATAAGTTGGTTGTGAAGATTTTTTTATTTGTGTGCATGAGTTTGTTCGGGGAGTGTTTGGAGTTGTGGAAGGATGATTGTGGTGGTGATGGGAGGTAATGTAAGGAAGGAGAGGGTGGTAGTTGCCTAAAATGAGAGTGATTAATCGGTGGTCTTGTAGTATTATTTTACACTATTTATTATTTGATATTTGTCAATTTATTTCTTAAAATCTTAACAAAAATTATGGAGTCCCACAATTTTAATCAATAAATATTAAGATAGAATATCATGTGAATTTATTCCAAGAACAACACATAATTTCTAAAATGACTTGGGTGATGAATTGTGAGAGAAAATGATTTGTTGTAGAATGCGAAAGTGCATGAGGGTAAAGTTAGCATAAGGAAAAAATTAACTGTTGACATTACCAAAAATTGTTAGTCAATCTAACTATCGACTATGATAAAAAAAAATTCTACCTATTAACTAACAAATGTGGGATATTACAATGCAACTATAAATCTTAGGGGGATTGTAATTTTTAGAACTTTAAGGAGAAATATGTATTAAGAGCAAACCTTAAGGGTGTTAATGTAATTTATTCTTAAATTTATCAATTATTTTAGAGTGTTGCTATTAACTAGGGGTGTGCGCGGTGCGGTTCGGGCAGTTTGAGAGTAAATTTACAAACCGAATGTTGGGTTGGCAGATTAGCGGATTGACAATTTGCGGTTTGGGCGATTTTTGGCGGATTGGCGGATTGAAGAATATTCTAACTAATTATCATACATTTGCATAATATATAATACTAATTTGTATAATATTTTTTAGATATATAACACAATATAATTTTAAATAATATGTTTCATATATATAACCACTAATTTATAATAAATTTTATATCTTAAATCTCTCTCACACTCATTTTTACATTGATATTTCATTGGAAGTTAAAAAATATATATGTATTAACTTTAGCGGAGTGGAGCGGTTCGGTTGGCGGATCATAAAATTTAATGTTTAAACTGCGGTTAGTGGTTAGAGCGGCGCGGATAGATGCGGATCGGTGCGGTTTTAGCGGATTGGACAGTATTTTGCACAGCCCTACTATTAACACTCCATTAATTATTTTAGATCTTCCATATTTTAGCTTTATTTATTTATTTATTTATTACAATAATAACCTCAAATGAAATTACTAAAAATGACATCAATAATTTTGGGACACCCCATCTCACAATTAAGCTCACACACCACTACATCATGAATTAGGGTTTATGAGAGTACACACCTCCATCACCACCAATCTATCTTCTCTAAATCCCACTTTCAAAACGTACCCACCTTGAAAATCCTTTGGCGGCAATATTTCGGCGGCAACGGTGGTAACCATTTGATTACATACACTTCTCTGGCAATGACAATGAGTGCAAATTTTTTCAATAACCACAACCCCATGAGACGAGAAGAGTACAACACACTGCTAGAAAAAGGGGAGACGGTGGCGTTTTTTTAACGACGTTTTTTTAAATGTCACTATTATTAATATTTAACGGCGTTTTACAAACGCCGCATATTATTTTAACTAAAACGGCACCGTTTTATAATAGGAGGCATTGAAAAGCGCCTCCAAATGCGGTAGCCACACGCGCCTTTTCAGTCCTTATTTTGTATTTGGGCCCTCTCTCAAACCATACGCATCACCTTGAAAATCCTTTGGCGGCAATATTTCGGCGGCAACGGTGGTAACCATTTGATTACATACACTTCTCTGGCAATGACAATGAGTGCAAATTTTTTCAATAACCACAACCCCATGAGACGAGAAGAGTACAACACACTGCTAGAAAAAGGGGAGACGGTGGCGTTTTTTTAACGACGTTTTTTTAAATGTCACTATTATTAATATTTAACGGCGTTTTACAAACGTCGCATATTATTTTAACTAAAACGGCACCGTTTTATAATAGGAGGCATTGAAAAGCGCCTCCAAATGCGGTAGCCACACGCGCCTTTTCAATCCTTATTTTGTATTTGGGCCTCTCTCAAACCATACGCATACATCATTTTGAATCTGAGCCCTCTCTCTCTCTCTCTCTCTCTCAACCCATACGCATACATCATCATCGAAGATTTAGAAATTCGAAGCGATTTCGAAGCTCTAGATCGAAGCGATTTCGAAGCTCCATCGAAGCTCTAGATCGAACCGATTTCGAAGCTCCATCAAAGATTCAGAGATTCAGTGATTTCTAGAAGCTCAGATCTGAACTTTGACCCCTCAATTACTTGCATTTCAAGCTCAAGTCGGTACTCTCTCTCTCTCTCTCTCTCTCTCTACATGAAGCTATATAAATAGAAAGTTTCATTTTCAAGATTTCATAGAAATCATCTACATGAAGCTAATATAAACATGATGGAAAATTTAGAGTTATATTTTATGCCTCTATTTCTATGTGTTGCTCTGTTCTATTATATCTGTGTGCTGCTGTATATGTGCTTCTGTATCTGTATGCATTTTGCTAATCTGGTGCCTCTGTATTTTGCTAATTTAGAGTTATATTTTGCTATTTTATTTTTGTGTTTTGTGTTTGGTTTGTGAGAAAAAGAAGGAAAGTGATATGTCTTGGACTGAATCAGTTAGAGTACTCTAACTAACAGTGATTGTTTGATTTAGTGTTTTGTGTTTGGTTGGTGAGAAAAAGAAGGAAAGTGATACGTTGCACTTAGATATAGTTAGAGAACAAAAATGAAACAGCAGAGATTAACTAGCAGTGATATGTCTTGGACTATGTTTTTTTGAACATTGAAAAAAACTAACTAACAGAGATTCTGTGCTTAATATGTTGTACTCTAACTAACAGTGATTCAGTGTTCAGTGTTTTTTTTTTTACTCTAACTAACAATGATATATGTCTTGGACTAATATGTTGTACTGGGAATGGTGATGAACATATGTTGTACTCTAACTAACAGTGATATGTCTTGGACTGAATCTGTTAGAGTACTCTAACTAACAGTGATTGTTTGATTCAGTGTTTTCAATGTTCATTTTAAACAACAAATATAGTTGGAGTACAAAACTAACTAGCAAAGATTCAGTGCTTAATATATTGTACTCAGATATATATATATATATATATTTTGACTACTTCAATGGAATAAAAAAAAATGCCATTATATCATAGCTAGGATATTTTTAAATTTAAAATTGATTTCATGAACATAAATGACAAATAAAAAAATGGGATTAGGCAAAAGACATGTTCATCACCATTCCCAATCTTTTTTTTAATGAGAGAAACGACAATAGTCCTGAGCTTGAAAATTTTTCTCATAGTCCAAGACATATCACTTGGACAACTCATGTACCAAAAACAATGGCTTTTAATCACATGTGTATGAATCCATTTAACGCAAAGGATATCAGCTTTCATACTTAAAGCCCAAATATTTTTTAAGATAGCTACTTTGTTCCAATCAATAAGACATTTAAACCCCAAACCACCTCCCCTTTTAGGAGCAAAAATATACTGATAACTAATCTTAGCATGGCCTTTTAGCTCCAAACCAGTCCATAAGAAATTCCTCACGATAGGAAGAATAAAAATCGAGGACCAATAGACTTGGATACTGAACAAAACGAATTGAATTAATTGAATGGTTGAACCCTGCCCCCATATGAGAGTAACTTTGTAGACTAATGCTTGATTCTAGCTAACATCCTGTCAATTAACTGGCAACAATCCTCAGTTTTAAGTTGAGAAGATATAAGGGGAACACCTAGGTATTTGATAAGAAACCTCCTCACTGGAATAGGTAAGAGAGAGAGAGAGAGAGAGAAGGTATTATCATCAACTCCACATAGAAAGAGCTTTTACCCAGATTAGGCTGCAGCCTAGAAATCCACTATTAGTTGGTATTCTCAATTACGCCACAAAAAATCCACTATTAGTTGGTATTTTTTTGTTTGAAATATCTCCTTTGCCATTCTGAAATAGGAAACAAAAATTCAAGTGGCAAACACATTAACTAGGGTACCGATAATGAACTCTATATTATGAAATTTTGGACAATGATGTTCCAAAGTACGACTGTTTTACAATGTGTTGTGTTTCTTGCAATATTTTGAGTGACAATATGAGGATTGTGCTATGATTTCAACCATTGGAATATTAGATTCGTTGTGCTTATATATGTGTCTTGGTATGCTGATTATTCTTCTTACGGGACAATCTTTACCATTCGATTTCACCAGTAATATTATGGCAAGCTCTTATTAACCATGGCAACTGATGCATGCTAAAATGTATCAAAACACCATAAACAGATATTTATGTATTCTATATGGAAATGCACATCAATTAATATTTGACTTTGTTTGTGCTTGCTTTCATTTGAAGGCATAATAGTTTGGTCTTTATTGATTGATTTGAGAGAGCAATGTATTTCTTGAATCTATCATAATCTATCAAGAGCATTGTAGAAACTTTTGGTTTCTTCATTAATATGCTTCATACTAGATATGCTTCTAGTATGCTTGATAGTATTAATTCAGATTGCACCACCGGGATGCAATCATTAATGGTGCATGCATGCATAAATAGCCTTAGACCCGTCCAAGAAAAATAATCAGTGATTGTTTGTAAGTGGCATAATAGTTTTGGGATTTGTTGCTATGCTAGTTGCAAGTGTATGGTTCTTGAACTATCGTTTGGTGGCCTTTTCTTCCCTGTATCACATGCTTGCTTTTTCAGCTGGAAAAATTATGTGTTGAATTTCCTTTCCTATTTCTCCTTAGCACATGGGTTCTCGTTTTTAAGTAGGTTGGTTTCTTTTTCAGGGATCCATGCTCGAAGGGAATTGATCTTGATGTATTGAAAACTTCTCTAGCTACACGTGGTATCTAAATTCTATAATAATTCCTAAAAGCATAACAATTGCCATTCTATCTTTTAGTGTTTCTTTGAAAATGTTATATGCGTTTTGATGAGCTTTACACTTAGTTATCTGATTTGGTTGGTTGGTTGGTCTTAGTCGCGGAAGGCCCAAGTCATATTCTTGGATTTAATTGTTGTCTTGTTGGCTGAGATGCATGTGATCACTTGATGTTGCACAGGTTTTTCAAAATTGTTATTTATTTTTTACTTTTTTATATAATCTCAAGTGGTATGGTTAAAAAAATAATAGTTGCCAATGAAGAAGTGGCAGTTGCTTCTTATCCTTGCTCCTATATGCCCCTGTATTTATTTCTTAATTCTTGTCAATACATCTGTGCACCTAGTAGACTAGTGTGATAGATAGATTGGGTGCTCTAGCATCCTCCAACAGTATGCTTTCTGGACAATTTTCTTTTGGCTGCTAGATATGGGCGCGATAGCACTCTCTAGAAGCTTCCACCATTGTGCTGCATTAACTTAATTTCATCTCTTCCTTGCTTCTAAGCCTCTCCAAAGCTCTTTAACACCACGTTGATTGCCAAGTTATTCCTTACAATGAGATTTCCACAGAATTAAACATAAATTGAAGGAATTAACATCAAATGAATGCAACCTTGCCTATGTAAATCAACATAAATATGCGTTGTTCGGCATTCATGGTAAGCAGGCTTGCTTACTTGTACGTCTCTGTCCATAGTGACACTAGTCAACCCATTGATTCTAATTTTGGGTTGTGATATCTGAAAAATGAAGAAGCTAGTCAAGTTTCAATTGAACCTGTATTTTCTGTTGTTGTAACTATGTACCCTTTCTGAATCAATAAATTATTTATAATCACATCTGTTGTATTCTATCGCATGTGCATATGTAGAAAGTCAATTGGGGAAGAAAGTAAACTCTTGTTTAGCTGTTCTCAAAACTTTTTTTTATGCCTTCTGTGATAGTTTCCATTTTTAGTTTTGGGATCTATGTTCACTCCTGCATGTTGGTGTTGCGTTTAAACTTACTTTACATTCCATAAAACAATGATGAGGTAGAAATTAACGTGCTTTAATGTGACGTGCAGGAGTGTTAACGTCCAATAAGAAGCTAGAAGAATCAAGACATGAGAAGCCATCTGAAACAGAACCAGACCAACTTGCTGAGGATGTTAAGCTGGCTCCTTCTCCAGATGGGGAAGTGGGAACTGGAGGAAGAGATGCAGTGAAGCCCAAGCACAAGAGAAAAAAGAAGTCATCCTCCAACGTTGATGCAAGTTAGCTGAATGAAAAAATATATCTAGGTATGATACTGACTTTTTTCTTTGTGCTAAAAATAATTTTCTTGCCATGCATCTCATAAGTGGATGAATCAACTAGTGAATCTCAGGAAATTGCTATTGATTGGTTGAACTGGTTCTTAATATAGGCTAATAGCCAATATAATTCTGATAACTATGGTGTTAAAAAGGAAGGGTATTTTCAAATTCTAAGACTAAACAAACATGAGACTTATTTTATGTGCAATTTGTTTATGTTTTATCAAGGTATTTTTGTCTTCGTCCGTATATTTTCTGAAGTCATCTTTAAGTGAGTCACGTGACCACTTAACATGGATTAATTATTAATAGGATGAGATTGCAATTTTTTTTTTAAGGCATCCCTAATTAAGCTCATCTGGATAAATATTTTTTAAGTAATACTTGTCCACTCTATTGTCTAACTATTATTTGCAGGTCATCGTGATACCGGGGTATGGCTTCATTGGACTTTGATTTGATCCAGTGAAAGGCATATGGAGTTGGGAATGCTTCTGAAGTTGCTGCATTGAGTGTTTATTGTAGGAGTAATCCAAAAGTGAAACATGAGAGGAAATAGTGTTAATATTCCTTCTGCACCCAAGGTTTTGTTTCGACTAAAATTTTACTCGAGGATTGATTTATTTTCATTTTCCTATTCTGTGATTTTTTTTTTTTTGGTTCATGTATTTACATGAATATATTTGGGTCGTGATTTTAGCATTGTGAAAGGGAAGCTGTAGAATAGCAACTTAGTTATTTGAACGAGCCATCAGTTTTTCACAACCTTCAGTATAGATATTGTCATGATATAATTTATGTATGCATAACTGTGATACTTAATTTCCCTCCCATCAAATTGAGTTTCCCTTTTCCTCTCATTTGACCTATGTTTGTGCTTGTTTCCTATAGAGTAAAGCAGGACCTGTTTTAATAGCAATCAATCCCTTCAAAGATGTCCATTGTTTTGGAAACGATTTTATCACAGCTTACAGGGAGAAGCTTTTTGACAACCCTCATGTTTTTGCTATAGCAGATACTGCCTATAACGAAATGATGAGAGGTGAGTTAAATAGTACTTGCAGGGATTTTGAAGAAAAAAACAAGGCTCATATTCATCTATTTGTACTTTGCCACTAAAGAATTTGTTTTTCTCACTCTACTTTTATCATGGATCATGCAGATGAAGTGAATCAATCCATCATCATAAGGTTAGTTGAACTGTCTCATGGATTTGTTGAACTGTTTTATGGGAAACTCTGGATTTTAAACTGTGAACTCAAGGGGTTTTAAGTTTATCTGGCACCATGATTGAGAGTATTTAAAAATGTAAAATAAAAGTTGTATGGAACCACTAGTTTGGAGGCTGTTCCAGCAAAGAACTAGTCCTTTGAAACTTGAGTATGCCCTGATTGGGAGGTTGGCCAGATATGTAAAGGAGTATAGCAATCGTGTGCATGAACATAGAGCATAAGTATGCTAGTAGAGTTGGTTTACAATTGTGACATTCTTTATTCTGCTACACCTGGGGAGCTTGTTAATTCACAATAAATAGTTCTTTATATGTTGACAATAGTTTGAAAATTGAAACAAAACAGTGTCACTGAGGATAAAAATTCTCTTGACAATGGCTTCTTTATATTCAAATTAAAAATGAAGCAGATATGGGGAAAATTATTGAAATTGGGCCATTTTATTTTGGAAGTAGACTAATTTTAGTGAGAAGATGGCAGTTGTACATGCATTTGACTAAGAGTGATTCTTTTTTGTGCACATTCCGATGAAATTCTATAATAATCCCCTAGAGTTTTGGACAAATGATGGGCTGATTCATGTGGCTAATGTTATTGGTAAACCTTTGTACCATGATGAGTATGCTGAAGTTCATAGTAGGCTTATTTTTGCAAAATTGCATTGATTTTTTTTGTAGTGCTTCTTCGTATGTGATAAAATCTTCTTGTTAGTGCTTCTTCAAGTTTTAAGTATTGTTTATAAGTATTGGGTACAAATTCTTCAATTTGTGTTTATTTTGGTGAATTTGATTGCAGTTTATGTTCTGATGCAGGCATGTAAACCAGTGATGACTACAACTTCTATGCTAAAACATGATTTTTGGATATATGTTAGTTTGTGGTTAATTATATATGTTAGTTTGTGGTTAATGTTGAAACATGATTTTTGGATTTTGGATATGTTATTTTGTGGGTAATGGTGATTGGATATTAATTGAATGAGAAACTGAATTAATGCTTCATTTGTTATTTGAATCAGAGTTTTTATTTTATATGTTAGTTTTATTACAGGTATTTGAATGGGAGTTAATATTTTATATGTTAGTTTTATTATAGGTATTTTTTTTAATTTAATCAAATAAAATTAGCACAATTTCAAAAAAAAAAAAGGGATATGACGGCGTTTCTACAAACGCCTCCTAAACCCTCAATAGTAACGGTCATTTTTTAAAACAGATACGACGGCGTTTTTAAAAAGTCGCTAACTATCGTTGGTGACGTCAACATGTGTATAGTAGGACATTTGGCGGCGTTTTTTAAACGCCTCCTATACTAATATCACGACGTTTTTAAAACGTCACAAAGATACAGCGACGGCCGCAGTTTCGACGTTAAAAACTAAATGTCACAAAAGGAATTAGCGGCGTTTTTGATAGATATAGCAGCGTTTTTTAAACGCCACTAAAAGTCCAATTTCCAACAGTGATAATAAAAAATTCAAGTAGATTGACATACCTCATAATAAAGTAGAGAAAAAATTTCTTAATCACTATAAATATTTTTCACTAGTTTTGGGATGTTCCACTGTCGTGGGTTTTGTTAGGATTTTGAGAGAGAGGACTTTTAGGGTGTGGGGGGTGTACATTTAAATAGGTGGAATGTTTTTATAAGAATAATTTTAGTATTGTTTGGAGAAGAAGAAATTCTAAAGAGTTTACAATTTATAAGTGGAAGTCTAAAATAATTGATATATTTTGTCAATCACTAGTATGTGTGAAATTTATATAATGTGAATTTCACATGCATGTAAATAGTTCGAGAGAGTGGTTAGCAATAATTTGTATCTCATCTTTTTTTTTTTTTTTTTCAACTTTTGGCATTAATAGGCCTCAATCTAATGTGCTTACGCATTTTTTAACCCACATATTCATACGGTATTACATATCAGGTAAGCTTCACACCCGTACTACTAGTCTGTACAAAAAATAGCACTTTGTTTGGTTTAGGGTAATTTTTTTGAAATTGAGTTTTTTTTTTTTTCATTTTTAATGATTTTATTTAATATTTTAAATATTTTTTAAAACTTTTTAGATATAGCTAATCTCGACATACTTACAAATTATAATATTTGTGATTTTTTTTTTTTAAAAAAAATTTATCCATAAATTTCATATGAGAGAATGTCGATCCATTTAGTTCTAAGAGTTTTTTTATAAATCAATTAGTCCTTTTTGTTTTGAAAAGCTATATTTATTTGATTTGATGCCATTTGATTTTAAGTGAATATCCTTTTGTGATTCATTTTTTTAATTTGTTTTTTAGATGAAAATGTAAAGGTGAGGTTGTGGAAGATTATTTTGGAGCACAAAAATTTATATTTCTATTAATGTGATTTTTTAGTGTTATATTAGAGTGTTACACTAGAGTATTATATTAGAGTGTTATATTTGGGAGAAAAACATACACTAAGGGATTTTTATGTGTTATATTAATTGGAGTGTTACGTTTGGGAAAAATACGTTAAGGAGTTTTTTTTTTGAAATGTTACGTTATTATATTTCGAAAAAGTATATTAAGGAGTTTTTGTGTGTTACATTAATTGGAGTGTTATGTTTGGAAAAAATACACTAAGAAATTTTTTTAAAATATACGTTGCAACGTTTGAGAAAAATATACTAAGGAGTTTTTTAATGTGTTATATTGGAGTGTTACGTTTGAAAAAAGTACACTAAGGAGTTTTTTATTATTACATTGATTGAAGTGTTATGTTTAGGAAAAGCACACTAAGAAGTTTTTTAATATGTTACATTAAGAGTGTTATGTTTTGAAGTGTTATATGAGAATGTCACGTTTGGAAAAAAATATATTAATGAGTTTTTTTGAAATGTTACATTTAGTAATTTCAACATTACCAAAAAACTCACATTTGTCATTCAACACATAACACACGTTTATGCTTGACCCTTTATGTAATTCACACTAGAATGAAACATTTGGATCTATAAATAAAAAGAGATAATCAAACAATTCATAAGATCACTATTTAAAATTTATTGATTCTTTACTCTCTTTTTTTTTTTAAATCACTAAATATGAAAAGTAGAAAAAATAATAAAATTCAATATATTCTACATTTAAAAGGAGTTGGCCGTAAACATAACAGTTAGAGCCCCCCCCCCCCCCGGGGAATTTCACACGCATGCCCCTCTTGTGAATTTCATACGTATGTAAATAGTTGATGAGTAATGATAGGGATTAAGGAAAAATATATGAAGGTAATTATGAAATTTTTTTCATTCTTAGATTACACATATATCCCCTCTTGTGAATTTCACATGCATGCCCCTCTTGTAAATTTCATACGCATGTAAATAGTTGATTTGTAATGATAGGGATTAAGAAAAAAAATATGATGAAGGTAATTATGAAATTTTTTTCATTCTTAGATTACACATATAATAAAATATCACACACTAATTAAAGAATAAATTTTTTTTATGAAATATTTCATAATATATTTTTTATGATTCCTAATATTATTCATAGTTGATAGAGTGGTTAGCAATTTAATTTGTACCTTATCTTTATTGTTTCAAGTTTTGGCATTCAATAGGCCTCAATCTAATGTCCACATTTTTTAACCCACATGTTCATATGTATTACATATCAGGTAAGCTTCACACCCATATTACTAGTGTGTACAAAAAATAGCACTTTGTTTGGTTTAGGGTATTTTTTCTGAAATTGAGTTTTTATTTTTTATTTTTTCATTTTTAATGATTTTATTTAATTTTTTAAATATTTTTTAAAACTTTTTAGAAGTAGTTAATCTAGACATACTTAAAAATTATAATATTTGTGATTTTTTTTTAAAAGAAAATTTACCCATAAATCTCATATTAGAGAATGTCGATCCATTTAGTTTTAAGAGTTTTCTTATAGATCAATTAGTCTTTTTTATTTTGAAAAGCTGTATTTATTTGATTTGATGCCATTTGAGTTTAAGTGAATATTCTTTTGTAATTCATTTTTTCAATATTCTGATTTATTTTTTAGATAAAAATGTAAAGGTGAGGTTGAGGAAGATTATTTTCGAGCGCAGAAATTTATATTTCTATTAATGTAATTTTTTAGTGTTACATTAGAGTGTTACATTAGAGTATTACATTTGAGGAAAAAAAATACATTAAGGGATTTTTATGTGTTATATTAATTGGAGTGTTACGTTTGGGAAAAATACGTTAAGGAGTTTTCTTGAAATGTTACGTTGTTGCATTTGGGAAAAATATGTTAAGGAGTTTTTGTATGTTACATTGATTGAAGTGTTACATATGTGAAAAATACACTAAGGAGTTTTTTTGGAATATACGTTGCTACGTTTGAGAAAAATATACTAAGGAGTTCTTTAGTGTGTTACATTGGAGTGTTACGTTTAGAAAAAATACATTAAGGAGTTTTTTAGTGTTACATTGATTAAAGTGTTATGGTTAGAAAAAGTACACTAAGAAGTTTTTTAATATGTTACATTGAAATGTTACGTTTTGAAGTGTTATATTGAAGTGTCACGTTTGGGAAAAATAAACTAAGGAGTTTTTTTGAAATATTACGTTTAATAATTTCAACATTATCAGAAAACTCACATTTGTCGCTCAACATATAACACACGTTTATTCTTGACCCTTTATGTAATTCATACTAGAATGGAATCTTTGGGTCCATAAATAAAAAGAAAGAATCAAATAGTTCATAAATCATTATTTAAAATTTATTGATACTTTACTTTTTTTTAAATCACTAAATATAAAAGTAGAAAAAATAGTAAAAATTCAATATATTTTACATTTAAGTTATGTCCCTCTAAACTTAAAGGACCCCCCTTTTTTAAATCACTAATATTAAAGGTAGAAAAAACAATAAAAATTCAATATATTTTACATTTAAGAATCTCTATTGGCCTCAGAACAAAATGTAACTTCTTATAAGAATTTTTGAAACGAAATTTCAAAAATATTGCCTCATTTTAAGAAATAGATTAAAAATCACTTTTTAACTTTTAATTTTTTTTTTACATAAAAAAAATTAAAAATTAAAAAAAATCAAAAAATTAATTTTTAACTAATTTTTCAATACACCCATTATTGTGTACGGCTTTCGGCAGTCAGATTCAAACCCTGGCCCATTACAAGTTAAATAATAACATCCACAAAATAAAAGGCGAAAATAATACAAGTTCTCATCATTTTCTTATTACATGTATGTAGTACACAAAAGAAGGGAGAGAGGATGCCAAATATAGGTTGGATTTAGTGCATTGTATTTTATATTTAAAATTAGGAGGAGCATCTCCTCTTGTCTAAATTTTGAATTAGAGGGTGTTATTTAGGCCAGTGAAGTCCATCATGTGTTTTGTTTTAATAATTTAAACCGTTTATTTTCTCAAATCACACAAAAAATTAAGTTAATCCGATAATTATAACTTGTTCAATTTATCGCGTTGTTAACAAAAAAATTTTTGATGTTTTTAAAAAATAAATCATAAATTTTTTTGGTCAAAAACAAGATAAATTGAACAAGTTACAGTTATCGAATCGATTTATTTTTGTATGAATGAAATACACAAAGTATTTGATAAAATAAACAATTTAGATCATTGAAACGGGTTTGTGGTGAGTCTCACAAGCGAAAACAGTGACATTCATTCCAAAATCTAGGAATCCTCCTCCTTAAAATTAATAATTTAAAAGTGAAAGTTAAAAGCTCGTTAACTAATTTTTATAAATTAATTATTTCAATTTATTTAAATTATTTTTACTTAACAAATTATAACTAAAAATTACACCAAATAACCTACTACAAACTTTTAAAATAAAAAAAAAACATTAATAATACACTTTACGAAACACTCTTCCATTTATGGAACACAACAAATACAAAAATACAAATAACTTAGATGCACTTTGCCAAACAGTCTTCCATTATAGAACACAACA